GCATGAAGCCAAAGTGCCAGTCTAGGCCTTCGAGATCGAGTTCGCTTTCGCGGCTGGGGGGCATTTCGGCGACGAGCCAGAGGGTTCGTGCGCTGCTGTATTCGCTGGCGATGATGTCTTTTAGGGCTGGGAGGCGGGAGAAGGAGGAGAGACCTGTGCCGAGGAGCTCTTTGGTGGCGGCGAGGACCCAGCTGTCGCGGTCTGTTTGCCGGCGGATGAACTTGACATTCATCTCGAGGCGGGAGTGGAGGAGGGAGGTGAAAGTGTAAGGGTGCGGAACGGTGGCGATGGTGAAGAGGGTGCTGGTGTTGCGGAAGACGGGTGGAACAGTGATGAGCATCTGGCTGCTGACGCAGGGCTTGCAGCGGGGCCGGTTCGGAGGGCAGGAGGCCGGAATTGGGGTGTCGGGGCATTGGCTGAGGTTGCGCGCGATGTCGATTGCGGGCTCGATGAGGGTGGTGGTGTGTTGAGGTAGAGGTTTGAGCACGGCGATGCCGGAGGAGAAGATGTTTTGCCAGGTCATGTGCAGGTGACTGTTGATCAATGCGGGAAGCATGGCAAGGCCATCGCCGGCCGTTGATGGTTTGTCGAGTTTCTGTCCGATCAGGCTGTATTTGGTCGTGATGGTGGAGGTGCTGTATAGAGCGATGGCGCTGTGCTCCGGATCGACGGTAAAGGTTTCCGCAGCGACAGCTTCAGCCATGCTTTTGACGCGTTTGATGGCTGGCGAGGCGATGGCTTCCTTGAGCGCTTTATTGATGTCTTCCCGATTTCCTACAAAGAGGCCATTTTCCAGCCCTTCGTAGCGCGTCAAAGAAGGATAGTCGGCTCGCCTCAGGAACGCCAGCATGTTGTCGTCGTGCGCCGCCATAGGTACAGCCAGCCAGTTGCTGAGCACGCCCGTCCCCATGTTGCCCCACGCCAACCACCTCATCATCTCCTTTTCCATCTCTGGCTCCAGCTCTGAACCCTGCACAGCTCTGAACAGTGGGTTGTTCATCGCTTCCGGCTTTCCCAGCACCACTGGCCGGAAACCTTGTGCCCACCACGCCCGTCTCCAAAGCTGCAACAGCTGTTGCTCCGACGTCTTGCTCTTCTCATCCTTGCCCGTTGACTCAAAGTATGTGTATACCGGTGCTCGCTTGGCCAGCGGCGGTAGAACCGCGCGCTCCTCATCCAACGTCGTATCGCTGGAGAAAGGGTTTCTCCATTTGAAATCTGTGTACCATCTCGCTTCGCCGCTGCTGCTGTTTGCCTGCTCCAGAGGCTTATGCGCGGGTCCATGGAAAGGGTTGAGCCAGTGCGGTGCGTTGACGTGTGGGAGCTCTTTCGGTAGCTTGGGTAATCGGTCGACTACTTGGTGTGCGCCTTGCTGAATCTGCGGTCCGTAGGGGACATTGTTGAAGTAGGAGTCCGAGTCGCCGGAGCCTGAGCTGCCGAGGAAGAAGATGCAGACAAGCACGAAGGCTGTGAGGGAGGCGACGATCTGTAGCCGGCGCGGGAGGTAGGTGCATGGGTTGGCTGTTCGTGGCATTGCAGCGATGAGAGCCGGCCTGCAGCTCGTCAAGGTCCTCTGCTCGTAGCCAATGGACTCGTCGTTGGGTCTCCTTGTCGCACAATCATTGGCCGCTCCTGCTTTAGCTGTTGGTACACTCCCCGATCCAGCTTGTCAATCCACCTGTGTGTACATGTATGTGTAGCGAGAGACTGAGAGTCCCATCCCTGCGCCACATCATGTCGGACACGCGCGGCGGATCTGCACCTGCAGAGCCGTTGACAAGGCTGGCGGTCTTGGCAGTCTCGGGTGCGAACCCCATTCGCCTCGGCGCAATCCTGTGCAGCTTCGGAGCTTCGCATAACCCTACCCGGCCTCCTCCTGCCCAAACCAGAGACCTCACGCTACGGAAGAGTGGTAGCGAGAATCTACCCTGGCGCAGACAGCTGTCACCCACGCGAACGACGATATTGGAAGCGGGGCCGTTTTCTTACCATGACATACAACACTCCGCATCCCGAGTCTTGAGGTGCTCGCTGATGGAGCTATGAAGAACGAAAAGGAAGAAGGTCCCATTCAGACTCTGTTCTGAATCACAGCCCTCAAACGCCATGGCAGCCTCCTCCTCCCGACGTCCAATAGCACCAAAGCATCCCGCTGTCTCATCAACCAAAGCCCGCCACAGTCCGGAAGCCTTTCAGTCCTTGTACGAGCGGAATGAAGCAGCCGAAGCATTGCAAAGATACGAACTCCTGTCGTGGTATTCTTTCGTACGTTGCGAGGTAAGCGTCCTCTAGACTTTCATCTTCTCTACCCTCGCCTCTCTTGTCGAGCCGATTATGCTATCTGCTATCATCTCAGCTTAGCATCACGTCGCTTCCAATGCTAACCCTGCATAACATCTTAGTCTCTAACTCAGACCCGCCTCCACTGCCAAAACATCGTCGCCGGCTTCTCCCCAGAAGACGAGGCCGCGCTCGTTCAGTGCAGAGAGGACTTCACGCCGCATCCACCGCGACCGGGTGAAGCCAGTCGGAAGGGGAAGGAACGGGAGCGGGTCAGTTCAGGGCAAGGCGCCGCCGCGGGTCCGTCGGGAACTCGCGCTGCGGATGCGACTGGAGGGAACGAGGCCTCCGCGAGCACGGCGAAAGCGAGGGAGAGCACTGGGGCGGGTGCGGTTGGTACTGGGAGTGGGAATGCAGGTGCGAATCTGAGCAAGAAGAAACGGAGAAGTGGTGAAGAGTGACCGCTGCAATAGGAGGGTACGATGTGGTAATGCATGTCGTCTCAATCGACTGCCTCTCTTCTCACCTCTCCAGACTCCAGCACAACTCGCTTGCATGATGCATCGACCAAGGCGCCTGGGAGCCACTTCCATCGACTCCCCAGTTAGCTTCCAAGAATGCGGTGGCATTGCCCGGAACTACTCTGACCGAACATATGGTCGTAGACAAGCATGACCAAATCCGTGAGAGGCAATGTGGCGGCGGGCGCTAATGGCTGTTCGCATTTTGCCAAGGGATTGCAGGCGTCTCCGAGAGATCTCACAAAGTTCAAGCAGCTCCGGAGGACGAATGCTGCCAATTCTCCATGGTTTCGCGGGCGGAGATTGAAACGAGGGAGCGTTCCTTCCCGATCCGGTACTAGTGCCGGGAGCTAACGGCTGTTCGCATTGTGGCATGAAACTTGCAAGTGTCTCAGAGACACCTCGCGGAGTGCAGCAGCTCCACAGGACCACGCTGCCGGTTCCTCACGATATTGTGGGCGGAGATGCCAACGAAGGAGCGTTCCTTCCCGATCCAGTGCTAGTGACGCGAGCTTACGGTTGTCTTACGCCAAACTTTCCACTTCCCATCAGCAATTACTCGCCATAAATTACGGATATCTTTTTGGAGCCACCGACGGCCATTCTCACTCAACCACCTACCGAAGAGTAGCAAATAATCTCAGGTGGAAAGAAAGAGCCGGCTCCTCACAAAAGTCACCTCCGTTCTCAAGACTGCAGCAGACACTTTTAGCACCTAGCGACTCATCATCACGAGAACGCACCTACAAGGCTACGACTCGCCGACACAGAGTATCTGTAAGCGCCAACGCTTTCCCTTCCACGGCAAAGTTCGCCTCCCCTCTAGTACTCCAGATACATCCTCTCTCCCCCTCCCCGTCCCTTTCCTTCCTCCCTCTCGTCTTCGTTGACTGGGCCTCCATCAACACCGCCGCCACCGGTCTCAAACACACGTCGCACCGGACAGGAGAACGACCGGCACACGTAGTACTAGAAGCATATAGCATGTGCATCAGCTTGTTTCTGCTTCACCATGATTCCGCTCGCGATCTACGCGACTACGACGCCTCCGACTTTCATTGCTTATTGTCGCGGGATCAGCATCGTGACAGCTGCCTTATAAGTACTTCGCAGCTACTCGGCAACTTGGAAGCCTTCCAGTCGACGATTGCGTTAAATCGACTACAGGACGCCGTGCCTGATATTATCGACCCGCTGCAGCGTGTCTGTGACAGTAAAATGCAGCTGTATTGATCCTGCTACGACTATTGAAGATCGCTTCCATACTTCGCATTTGGCTCATCACCACTTCAGGTTTCAGAGCAATGATGACAAAACCGCAGTGCCGAACTTGGATTCATGCGTGTGCACACAGACCTTGTTGCGGTAAGGCTAACAGCGCCGCTTCCAAGGGTGATTACTGAAATACCTCTTCGTCGATCAATAACGTGACGAATGCGGACGTGATGAGCTTCCCATCTACATCAAAAGCATGACTCAACAATACGGTATCAATGAAAAAGGAAGGCCCGTATCGGGCGTGATGTGATTCCGTTGCGGGGAATTGAACCCCGGCCTTGTCGGCACTTCATGAGAGCGACAAATCCTAGCCACTAGACCACAACGGATCGAGAAAGGGAATTGGAACAATAACTTATATATTCAGA